ACTTCTAACGATTCATGTGAAAGGAGTTATTTAACTGAGTGTGTGAGTATGGTTAAAGTCAAACTTAGTAATCCTTTCACACTAACGATCCTTGTTAACAATGAACGCATGTCAATTGACTTAACAAACATCCTTAAGTAGAAGTATCACAATGGACGGTGTATACAACCGTTTGTCAAACAATATCAACCAATATTTTATATTTAGAATCACCATTACATGATATCACAGAAACATATATATTAAATTTTACTTTGAAAACTCCAGAACTAATGTCGTGAACGTAATATAATAGGAATTTATTCCAACAAAGTGTTTCCCATATATATGTTTCCTTGTACAATTTTAAATTAATGGATTTTTTATCTATTATTTTGCCATGATCGTGACAATCGCGAAAAGGCTACTCTCTTGCTATTCCGTTTATTGGTTATTCTAGTTTAGACAGCGACAGCCTCTCGTTATACAAACAGTTCTTTTCTAACCCCGATTTAGTTAAGACAACGTCAGTCTTTCGCTATACAAACAGTGGTTTTTCTAACCCTGATTTAGTTAAGACAGCGGCAGTCTTTCGCTATACAAACAGTGCTTTTCTAACCCCGATCTAGTTAAACCAGCGACAGTCTTTCGCTATACAATCAGTGATTTTTCTAACCCTGATTTAGTTAAGACAGCGGCAGCCTTTCGCTATACAAAGAGTGCTTTTCTAACCCCGACCCAGTTAAGACAGCGGCAGCCTTTCGCTATACAAACAGTGCTTTTTCTAACCGCGATCTAGTTAAGACAGCGGTATAATTTATATTATTGATCTGTTACTTAAATCTGCACAAGTGTTTTATTTCTGATGTAAAACGCTGTCAACATAAACATATACAAATTATTTCATAACACTCCAAATAAAGTTTGTAACCCCGATCTAGTTAAACCAGCGTCAGTCTTTCGCTATACAATCAGTGGTTTTTCTAACCCTGATCTAGTTAAACCAGCGACAGTCTTTCGCTATACAATCAGTGTTTTTTCTAACCCCGACCTAGTTAAGACCGCGGCAGCCTTTCGCTATACAAAGAGTGCTTTTCTAACCCCGACCTAGTTAAAACAGCGGAAGCCTTTCGCTATACAAACAGTACTTTTCTAACCCCGACCTAGTTAAGACAGCGGAAGCCTTTCGCTATACAAACAGTGCTTTTCTAACCCCGACCCAGTTAAGACTGCGGCAGCCTTTCGTTATACAAACAGTGCTTTTTCTAACCGCGATCTAGTTAAGACAGCGGTATAATTTATATTATTGATCTGTTACTAAAATCTGCACAAGTGTTTTATTTCTGATGTAAAACGCTGTCAACATAAACAAATACAAATTATTTCATAACACTCCAAATATAGTTGCCATAATGAAAATAGTATTAACGTACCCGTCATCTGTTTAGTGAGTAAGGATGTCCTGTCCTCCCTTAGTACCCGTCATGTGTGAAGTAAGTAAGCATGTCCTGTCCACCCTTACTACCCGTCATGTGTGAAGTGAGTAAGCATGTCCTGTCCACCCTTAGTACCCGTCATGTGTGAAGTGAGTAAGCATGTCCACCCTTAGTACCCGTCATGTGTGAAGTGAGTAAGCATGTCCTGTCCACCCTAAGTACCCGTCATGTGTGAAGTAAGTAAGCATGTCATGTCCACCCTTAGTACCCGTCATGTGTGAAGTAAGCAAGCATGCCCTGTCCACCCATAGTACCCGTCATGTGTGAAGTGAATAAGCATGTCCACCCTTAATACCCGTCATGTGTGAAGTGAGTAAGCAAGCATGTCCACCCTTAATACCCGTCATGTGTGAAGTAAGTAAGCATGTCCTGTCCACACTTAGTGCCGTCATGTGTGAAGTGAGTAAGCATGTCCACCCTTAAAACCCGTCATGTGTGAAGTGAGTAAGCATGTCAACCTTTAGTACCCGTCATGTGTGAAGTAAGTAAGCATGTCCACCCTTAGTACCCATCATGTGTGAAGTGAGTAAGCATGTCCTGTCCTCCCTTAGTACCCGTCATGTGTGAAGTGAGTAATCATGTCCTGTCTACCCTTAGTACCCGTCATGTGTGAAGTGAGTAAGCATGTCCACCCTCTGTACCCATCATGTGTGAAGTGAGTAAGCATGCCCGCCCTTAATACCCGTCATGTGTGAAGTGAGTAAGAATGTCCACCTTTAGTACCCGTCATGTGTGAAGTAAGTAAGCATGTCCACCCTTAGTACCTGTCATGTGTGAAGTGAGTAAGCATGTCCTGTCCACCCTTAGTACCCGTCATGTGTGAAGTAAGCAAGCATGCCCTGTCCACCCTTAGTACGCGTCATGTGTGAAGTGAGTAAGCATGTCCACCCTTAATATCCGTCATGTGTGAAGTGAGTAAGCATGTCCACCTTTAGTACCCATCATGTGTGAAGTAAGTAAGCATGTCCACCCTTAGTACCTGTCATGTGTGAAGTGAGTAAGCATGTCCTGTCCACCCTTAGTACCCGTCATGTGTGAAGTAAGCAAGCATGCCCTGTCCACCCTTAGTACCCGTCATGTGAGAAGTGAGTAAGCATGTCCACCCTTAGTACCCGTCATGTGAGAAGTAAGTAAGCATGTCCACCCTTAGTACCTGTCATGTGTGAAGTAAGCAAGCATGTCCTGTCCACCCTTAGTACCCGTCATGTGTGAAGTGAGTAAGCATGTCCTGTCCACCCTTAGTACGCGTCATGTGTGAAGTGAGTAAGCATGTCCGCCCTTAATATCCGTCATGTGTGAAGTGAGTAAGCATGTCCACCTTTAGTACCCATCATGTGTGAAGTAAGTAAGCATGTCCACCCTTAGTACCCGTCATTTGTGAAGTGAGTAAGCATGTCCTGTCCTCCCTTAGTACCCGTCATGTGTGAAGTAAGTAAGCATGCCCTGTCCACCCTTAGTACGCGTCATGTGAGAAGTGAGTAAGCATGTCCACCCTTAATACCCGTCATGTGTGAAGTGAGTAAGCATGTCCACCCTTAGTACCCGTCATGTGTGAAGTGAGTAAGCATGTCCACCCTTAATACCCGTCATGTGTGAAGTGAGTAAGCATATCCTGTCCACCCTTAGTACCCGTCATGTGTGAAGTGAGTAAGCATGTCCACCCTTAATACCCGTCATGTGTGAAGTGAGTAAGCATGTCATGTCCACCCTTAATACCCGTCATGTGTGAAGTGAGTAAGCATGTCCTGTCCAACCCTTAGCACCCGTCATATGTGAAGTGAGTAAGCATGTCCTGTCCAACCCTTAGTACCCGTCATGTGTGAAATGAGTAAGCATGTCCTGTCCAACCCTAAGTACCCGTCATGTGTGAAGTCAGTAAGCATGTCCTGTTCAACCCTTAATACCCGTCACGTGTGAAGTCAGTAAGCATGTCCTGTCCAAACCTTAGTGCCGGTCATGTTTGAAGTGAGTAAGCATGTCCTGTCCAACCCTTGGTACCCGTCATATGTGATGTCAGTAAGCATGTCGTGTCCAACACTTAGTACCCGCCATGTGTGAAGTGAGTAAGTATGTCCTGTCCTCCCTTAATACCCTTCGTATGTGAAGTGAGTGATACACCCATGATTACTAGTAATGTTACAAGATGGCATGATTATTTCTGGATATATGAGTCCAAACTACAAAGTAATCTTCTATCCATTTTACTTCTTTTCAATTTGCCCCATTTCCACGGCCAAGAATTCAGCACCGATCGTGCAAAGAAATCAATACAGTGCACCAAAGTGAGCAGTTATCTGTATTGTTTGTGATGGTAAAGGAAACTTGGATAATTGTGTCATTGGATAATCTACCATCTTTAAGGGACTTAAATTGTTCCAAAAATAGTGGGAAACGAACTTGAAATGAATACACATTCACCGCGTGGTAATAGATCCATGTATATTTAATAACTTGTACATAAGACATAACATGTCTAAAAACCCATACCAAGTACAATAAGTTTACACTTAACATTTGAAGATGGCATTAACATTTAGCGATACCATATCTGAAAATATGAACAACGAACAAAACATGTCGATTAGTGATGTTGGCTTCATTGTGTGTCATTCAGGCATGCAATAGTTGTTCACTTCGCTATGATGACCCGTTACACAAACACCTCCTGACAGATAAGAACCATATGTTACAAAACACTTCGCACGTGGATGGAACTGCATAGAATATCAAGTGACATTTTGTAATTACTGTTCACACTGGCCTGTGTGACCAGCTTGCCGATAAGCGGATGTTCGATGTCCTTACTGACAGTGTCGTTTGTAAATTAGTTCGTTTCCTTGTTTCTACATCAGCATATACACTGAAATGAGCTAAGCTTAAATTTCTTCATATTATTTGCAGAATATCCCTTAAAACTAGGGAATATCAAATAATTATAACATTAGAATTATACTCAATGTAAAATGTAACTTTAATGCCTTCGATCTTAAATAGTGGCGGTCGGGTAGCCTTGTGGTTAATGCATTCGCTCGACACGCCGAAAGCCCGGGTTCGATTCCCGACATGGCTACAATGTGCGACGCCCATTTCCAGTGTCCCCCGTCTTGATATTGCAGGAATATTGCTTAAAAAAGGCTGCGTAAAACGATACTCACTCACTCACTTACGATGTTGAATACTGTTTCCTCTTTGTTGTGATAAAGGGCGATTTATCATATGGTACACTGTGTTAATTTAAAACATCAACGCCGTAGAGTAATCCGCTCGATCATCAACGGAAACAAACTCAAATGGGCGCAAACGGCAAAAGAAGCGTCGAATACCACATGAACGGGTCATAGAGAGCCAGTGATGGCACCAATGATTGCACCGGGTGATGGCCTCAGGTGATGGCACCAGGTGATGTCACCAGGTGGTGGCACCAGTGATGTCACCAGTAATGGCACCAGTGATGGCACCAGTGATGGCACCAGTGATGGCACCAGATGATGGCACCAGTGATGGCACCAGGTGATGGCACCAATGATGGCACCAGTGATGGCACCAGTGATGGCATCAGGTAATGGCACCAGGTGTAGACCGATATTTCTCATCTAAATAACCAAGAGTTCAGATATGTTTTAAACATGTGATATTACTGAACGTCGATTTAGCAGACCGCGTCCGTGGTCTAATGGTAGAGCGGCTGTCCGGAGAGCGAACCCCAGATCGCGTCATACCAAAAGACGTCAAAAGATGGTACTTGATGTTACCCTGCCTGACGCTCGGCAATAAGGAGTAAGGAACACTGTTCGGCTCAGAGTATACTGTGTCTGAGTGGGGTATTAATGTTAAGCTGTGGCATGGTATCTCAGTGGGCTAGCACTATAAACTCGGCATATGTTCCTTTGTTCATAAGTCCTATGAAGAATGTGTGACATAAGTTAGAATTTTTCTTTATTCTCCACAGTCAATCTGTCGCTTCCTGGGCAGTGATCTGGTCACCATCACCAGTCACACCGACGATGCCTTTGTCAGAGGGTATGCGACCCAGCGGGGAAAAGGTGGGTATACTCAGAAGTGCCAATTATCATTGCTTTACCCCAAATTCAATGGTACACACTTCATTGGAAAATTGTATGATATAAACATATTTATTTCCATAAAATGGAGGGATTGGCAAACAAGCAAATTTTGCTTATCTGAATGCCTCTCCCAAACATGATACATATACAAATAGCAATGTATATAGGAAAATTGTATTCATCCCAATTTGCGTTATTGTAGCGTAAAACGAGGTTTCAGTGGTTGACTTTCATACGTATTGGTATGTAAATAGATATTTGCATGGTTTGTGATACGTTATAAAAGATATGTGTACAAAAGTTATTTCCGATAATAATGAATACCCATTTTTATGTCATATATGTTGAAATAGGCCCGTTGTCTCATACTAAACACATTATTTGTTTTCTTATTCCGTAATGAAGCTGAAAGATACTACCTGGAGGGCTCCGACCTCGGCCTAGAGGGACACTGGATATGGACGGGGAACAAGCCCTTCACTTACACCAACTGGGCACCAGGGCAACCATCTAACTTACGAAATAATGAACACTGTCTCGAAGCTAACAAAGGTTATGGATACGGATGGAATGATGTTCATTGTGACATGAAAGCAAATTTCATTTGTCAGATGTCGCCACTGAGAGGATAAATAAAACTGGTTGTTGCAGTCTGTCTCTGACAGCAACAATTTCACATGTGTGATTAAGAAATAAGCGTACCCGTTATACATATATTACAGATAACCTGATAAACAAATACAGGTTACAGGGAACACACTCGGCACACTCTAGCACACTCAGATACCACGCCGCAGTTTAATCAGTAATAGGCAGTATTCTGGGCCGACCAGTCCTATTTCTAGCCCATTATTGCCGAGCGCCAGAGAGGGTAATAAGTACCATCTTTTAACGTCTTTTAGAATGATGCGACCGGGCACCGCACGACGGACCTTCCGCTCTCCGGGCGGACGTTCTACCAGTAGACCAAGGAGCCGGTAGACAGGGTAACAACAAGTACCATCTTTTACCGTCTTTTGGTATGACGCGGCCGAGGATCTACTACAAGACCGCGTTGACCAGCTGTTGATGAGCGTAGATGACACGTGTGGGCGCGACATAACTCGCAATTTGTTTTGTTGAAACATGACCACTTGTAAGCTCATCGCCGAGCTGATACATGAAAATAATTGATAAAACATAAACCCCGAACGCTCCGGGCAGACGCTCTATCAAGAGACCACGAAAGCGGTCCCCCGGTAAAGCAACATTTCCAAATTAATTTGGACGCATAAGTGACAATAATCATGCCCCATGCCATTCCCTAATTCAGCTTGTATCATATGTTGCCATATTTATTCAGGGGAACATTTGGTTTGTCCTTGCACATGCTTGTGATGGGTGCCACTGGTGGGGCAGGATACTCACACCTTTTCGCGAACACCTGGAGTCATCACAACAAAATAATTTGACATTCTGAGTGGATATTACGATCCATACAAGAAACAGATCAAAATTAAGGAAGGCATCATATCCTGTATTATGACGTTATCATAACAGTTTCGCGTATGTTATGTCATTCCGGGATCACCAATTCCCAATTACACAATGTCATCAAAATTCATGAACCGACAGTGATTCACGATTTGACCCATCTTCTCAAATAACAGGCAAAGAAATCGGTGCCTGAGTGGGTGACTCTGTGACATCAGAACCGGGGGGGGGGGGGGGGGGGGGATATAACAAACATGTAAAAGTGAGAGAAAAACTGGAGCATGAAGTAATAATAATAGAAAATAAGCTCTGTATCTATGGGCATTATAGATGAGGAACCCTTTTAAGAAAGTAGCTTTTAGGGAACACATCTTATGTTGGTTGGTTGTTTAACGCCGCATTCAGCAATATTCCAGCTATATGACGGCGGTCTGTAAATAATTAAGTCTGGACCGGACAATCCATTGATTGATATCATGAGCATCGATCCACGCAATTGGGATCGATGACATGCATCAACCAAGTCATCGAGCCTGACAACCCGATCCATTTAGTATCCTCTTACGACAAGCATAGTCACCTTTTACGGCAAGCATGGGTTGCTGAAGACCTTGTCTACCCCGGATCTTCACGAGTCACATTTTATGTAAGGTAATTAGACATATCTGAAAACAAAATCATGCGGAGTAGTGTTCATTATGCAGAAGGTGCAACATCGCACGCACAATAGCGTTAATGAAACAGAAGGTGCAACAACACATACGTATGAGTGTTCATGAAACAGAAGGTGCAACAACATATACGTATGGATGTTCATCTAACACCGTCAAAAATAAATTATTTATGTCAATGATTCTATACATGCTGTTAACACACAAACATATAATGTAGTTGCTAATATCAGGGATGAAGTCCGCGCCTCTATGATAAATAGCTACATTTTTTTTGTTCTAATGTGGGATTCTACATGAGACAATTAAGTCTTGACAGGTTGTGATATGATGGTCGTGAAATCCAACAAACGTTTGCCATAATGATTTCGAGATATGTAAACAGAAGATAATGAACAGTTTACACACACTCTGTAGGTTATGTAATATAAAGTGAAGGGTGTGAAAATTAGAATACATGTGAATGTCCACATAAATACAAAGACTGGTTGAGCATAATAATAGAGCGGTTTCAATAAAGCGACAAAACCCTTTCTATAGCCAACAGAAATCTCTGCAAAAAAGCAAAGTCGCCACCGATCCCGACTACATGTCATAAGCATGTGTTTGTGAATCACTAATCTCTGCATAAAGCAGAGTCGACTGTACAATTCCGACTATATCGTGAGCATGTGTTTATGAATCACTATAAAATAGAGTTCGCGAAAAGGTGAGCGTATCCTGCCCCACCGAAAAGTAAGTATTTGTAGGGCAGAATAATAGAAAAGTTTTATATAAACATGGATTGTTTGTGCACTATGGTTACTTCCGTTGCCATGCCAATAATCAATAGTTGTATTATGAAAACGTATTGACTGTAACCCTTTCCCTTAGCACCCACCGTGCGTGAAGTTTTTGTACATGTGCTGCCAGTCCATGGCACCCGTTACGCTTGTGATCATGTGCGGCTGGCTCTCTAGCAACCGCCTTGTGTTACATTAGTGTTCGTGTTTTGTTAATGTCACAGCGATTTCGAAATAGTTTCTTGGTTGTGATGGAATAGCATATAATTATACACAAATATGACACTAGTGCTAGCGTTGAAAGCTTATGAAACGCTTTTGATTTAGTTGGGTTGGGTTTAACGCAGCGTTTAACATTATTCCAATTATATCATGGCGTGACAGCTTAATGTGGGAGGAAAGCTGGAGAGATGCAGGTCTCAGACGTTTACCACTTTGGTGAAACCCACGAGCACGGGTATGGTGCTGACAAACCTAGAAACGTTATCGGGGCGAACCGGGATTCGTACACACAATCATAGGTTTCTGGCGTGCCCAAGGAACGCAGCTCTGCACAGCGAATTGCGGCGCCATAGACGACTGGGCCACCTGTGCCCCCTATTATATGACAGAACTCGATTGAGTTGGGTTTAACACTATTTGTAACAGTATTTCAGTTGCATCATTGCGTGTCATCTTACTTTGTGAGGAAAGCTAAAAAAGATGCAGTTATGTGATAATGTGTACCTCTTTGATGAAACACACAAGAACATGTCGGGAGTAGTAGTTGGCATTCTACAGGACACTTCGATAGCAACAACACAAGTCCGCATAAAGGTCCACAACATTTATTCGTCGCAAGAAGACGTTCAGCTCTCAACATCTCAACTCCATCTGCCAACTCTGGTGGGCTTAAATGTACATGCATAAACATCCTAAGCTTCCTGACCATATTCTTAATATGCTTATATGACCAGACCACTTAGTACCTCGTCCACAACCCCTATGCATCTAGTGCAGTGGCCAGTCTTAACCTTCACCTTAAAAGGCTACTGCATGACGTAATATGCGAATCCAGCATGCCCCTAAAAGGCAACGGCCAAAAATCCAATCAGTGAATGATGAAGTGGAAACAGGGGAGGGTCATGCGAGCCTCTACCCAGGGTCGAAAACCCAGTCGCAAACCTCACGCGACATACTGTATACTTCATGTAATATACCACCCGGTTTTGACAATAGACGTGTCTTCTCGTCTTTAACAAGGATTGTGTATGAAGTACAATGGACAATCAGTATAAGTACATCAATAAATAAATTGTGTAGAAAACATCGTCTGATCAAAAAAAAATTTTTTTTATGGATGGGCGTTTGTTTAGAATTTGTTTGTTCCATACTAACTAAATGTGGACCTTTCTTTTTTCAGAAATTACGTACAATACCATTCACAGAGAGAATTCACATATCGTTATACAGCTGTGGGAGACAAGCAAATACATAAAGCACAATTTCTAAAATAATCCTGTACAATTAGTCGTTCACCCTTGTGTCCACTTACCCAAGATTATCACTGTGATTATGCATGTAAATTGAAGTATAAAACGAACTGGTGTAAAAATAAACATTAGCTGCCACTCTCCTGTCTCCTGCGATTCCTTATTAACATATACAATAACGGAACATTAACAATTCCCATGGCAATAACTATGAACACACATTCCACTCAGGATGGCTGGCCCTTCCACAACTACCTGAACTCGTAGGACAGAGGATGATATTGCATCGCCAACATGCCAATGTATCTATCCGTGATCAAGGGACAGATACAGGTGGAATCCATCATCCACCTCCAGGGAGCCTGCTGGTTGTCCTGTACGTGTTCATCTACAATTGACACCTGTCTTTCTCTCAATCACTGCACGGCTATGTCTTCGACTGGCCTCTGACAGTAACGAGATGGTCCTTTTTTCTGTTGGTTGTCTTATACTTGTTCATCTACAATTGACACCTGTCTTTCTCTCAATCACTGCACGGCTATGTCTTCGACTGGCCTCTGACAGTAACGAGATGGTTCATTTGTCTGTTGGTTGACCTGTACTTGTTCATCTACAATTGACACCTGTCTTTCTCTCAATCACTGCACGGCTATGTCTTCGACTGGCCTCTGACAGTAACGAGATGGTTCTTTTGTCTGTTGGTTGTCCAGTACTTACATGTTTAAATAGTCATATATACAAGATACACATTGTCGAGACCTTCCACACTTCGAGCCTTTAATGCATGCATATATTTGACATACAACGTTGATGACCTAACTAAAAGCAATTTTCGTGTAGAAGATTCAATTTCATCTCAGATGGTAGTTGGTAGTTGGCATGCATTATTATACATGTTTAATCATTTTAAAAATATATAGGACTACTATAAATATATGTTAACAGTGTTTCAAATACCATGCGATTTGTTTATATGAAGGTTAAGGTGTTTGGGTATAACGTCCTCAGATTGTATTTGGGCAATACACACTTAAGGTGACTTAGATCATACAACTGAAAATACCCAGAGACAAATCCTATAACAAGTCTTAAGGATGAGTGTAAGCAATCATCGGCTAGATTCACACAGCCTGAGTCAGTCCAACATGTCAATATGAATAATCAAGCAGCAATAAAGAACAATTCTCAGTTCTAATACACAGATACACCAGATCTAAATACAGAGGGTATTATATTCTACCGGGATATAAATTGCAAAGACGCCAATCTATGTAGTTAAAACAGGCTTTAGATCA